AAGAGGGCTAAGCCTCACTAAAGCTTCCATGCTTGTTCAGAAGGGCACAGCGTACTAAGAGGTTTTCTGCTCAGGGAGGCAAGAGGGCCAGAGTCTTGTTGAGATAGGCAGTTAGAGCTGAGATTGACCTGAGTGGGGACTCCCAGGACAATTGCTCGTGTGCAGCCAAGGAGTCTCCCACTCACTGAGCGAGCTGCTTGTCAGATTCTCAAACACACAGCCGGCTCCGCATCTCCCTCCCACAGCCCCTTCTCCCATGAGGGACATAAAGAGGGAATTAGATTTTCAGACCACCTTTCCATAAAACAAAGGATGATGAGACAGAGAGAATTGATGTGAAGATTGCTCTGCTATTTTGGACGTAACAAAACTGAACATAAAAACCATGGCATAACATCTTCGATGCTGTATTTCTCATACTCACAAATGCGGATACATGATGGATATATATCAAGATTTGCTTAAAAGGGACCGGCAGTGGAGAACATGAAGCCCCGGGGGAACAAATCTGCTCCACATCCCCTTTCAGGTGGTGAGCTGGGAATGTATTTGGTTTGAACCTGAACAACGCCGTCTCCCCTGTTCCACAATCTAGGACGCGCATGCATTAGCACTTAGACTCGGGCTTGAATTGCAAATTTGATTTTTGTTGTTCATATTAAGAAAGCCACTCCAGATGCCTGGGAAACATTAAGGTTTGGCCAGCTAGGGAACAGAAATATTGTCATTATACCTATCTTTGTTTTGAAGATTCAGGAAGCATCCTGTCCCCATGGCAGTCATGACTGGATTTTAAAAATAGTGAAGCTAAGGCATAGTGAGTGCTGACTCTGGGTCCCACGTGCAAAATTCTGTGTTTGTACATTATCTCCTATGAACTCACCCTCACAGTAACTCTGCAAGCTAGCGCTACTAACCCATTTGGGAACTCATGAAACCAAACTTGGGACAATTTATAGACATTTCTCCAAATTTGTCCTTTAAGTGTCAGCTGGGAGCTGCCAGAGACTCAGAAGCAAGTGGAACAGAAACCTTCAGTGTGGCCATTCTGGCACCACAGCCATGCATGACTGAGTACCGTTCGGCATTTTAGTGCATGGGTTGGAGGGGTGGGGTTTGAGCCATCCTTCTCACTCCAGTGATTTTCTCTTACTTCTATAATGCTGGGCTCTTGTGTTTTGCCTACTTAACCTCTTAGAAGTCAGTGGGTTCCCAAACAGACCTGTTGGCCTTTGGAGCCTTGGCCATCTCTGTTTTATAGGGGGAAAATACAAAGTCTTTATCAGCCCTGTTCAATGATTACATGACCTAGAACAGAACTGTGGGCCTGTGAGTTCTAAAATAATATTAGATTCATTTTTTAAGACAAGTTCTCATTTTCTGAAGTTTAATGTCCCTTCAGGAGGTCCCTGGGCCACATCTCTGTTAGGCCTTTCAGCTGTGACATTTGAGCGACATACATTCGCACACCTGTCACAATGATCCTAACCATGGTTTCCTGGTTTGTTCCATAAATAACGTTGTTTCCTAGCAGAGTTCCCCTAACATGATGGATTGAAGCATCATTTTCTTTGAAGTCAAGTTCTAGTGTGTCCCATTTAGGTCCCTGTTTTCAGCTATTCAAGAGCCTCAACTGAGTGATTATGACAGGCTCTGGTTTGTAATTAAAACTAAGATATGGGGAAAGGGATTAGCTAGGCATTTGGCTCAGGTCCCTTTTGACTCTGCTTACTTTCATAGAACGGAGTGCTCTGCTTCTAAGAAAGTGTGTATTCCTTAAGACATCACCAGATGGGTGTTACAACCCGCCGGACTCTTGTAGAGCCGTGCCAACTATACAGCATGCTGCACAAAGGGAATCCGACATCTCTCACCCATAGGATCTCTAAAATATAGTGTCTCTGCCAAGAATGGGATACCCAGGTAGAAGAACTGGACTCCACCCTCACCATTCATACAGCCCAGTGGGAAAGCCTTCACCCACATCACAAGTATTTCCCCAGCTCCCACCCTATGGACAGACACCTTTGACCAGAGCCACATGTATATATCCCTTTCTGGCAGAAAGAAAGGTCACAAAGACATATAAAACTAATAAGCTCATAGAGTTAACAAGAGCTAACACTCTTTGGAGCAAGAGATTGCCCCATCCATTACCAGGAATGAAGATTCTCAATCAGAAACTCTTTATGGCTACCAGACTATCATTCAAACTCACTTGTCACATCTCTGACTTAGAAAATAGGATTTCTCACTCGTTTTGCAACTACTTATTAACTATTGCAAAGAACCTGACCACTGCAGATAACCAGGAAACAAGTCAGCCACGGTCCCTAACTTCTTGGCACAAGTATGATAAAGGCTATAATGGGGAAGTATAGATTGCTTGGCAAACCTTATTCTGATTAATTCAATTTAGTGTGGGTGGGTTGGGGTGGGAAAGGGAGGGATCCTCAACTCTTACAGTAAGGGGGATCTGGAATGTGATGTGAAAAACAAGCAGCTATTGCCTAGGGGAAGAGGAGGGGATAGGGAGTATTAACCAGGGAAAGGGGAGGAGAGGGGAAGTTTTTTCCAAGCAAAGAAAACATTACTTTGCCTGGAGATAGAAGGATGCTTGACGCAGTTAGGGAACTTACAGAGGCTAATGAAGTCTGGGGTGCAGCTTGATGGGCAGTGCTTGCCTAACATGAGCAAGGTTCCCTGGGTTTAATTTCTACTACTACTGCTAATATTCACACACACACACACACACACACACACACACACACACACACACACACTTTAAAAAGAGTTTTAGGAGAATTTATAGAAGATATATGTATGCTGGGTAAAGATAGAGAGGATGGAGAAGGACGGGATAGGAGGATGCAAAGATGACAGTTGACATTTTAACCTGATTACTTCAGGCTTGTAAGCAGGAACCACACTACAATATATCCTTTGAAGAAGGTGACAGTATATAAAATAGGAAGTAGAGAGCTAAACAATGAATAGAACAGATAAGGGAAAGAATGGGTCACCCAGAGATGGTCCCCTGGTCTGGGGCAGTGTTAGTTTTAATAGACATGAGATGAGTATATGATGCTCACACTTCTGTCCTGGGTAACTGTGGATACTGAGATGGTGAACAGGTAAGCATTGTATTGTATTGAATTCTAGATGCTCCTTAACTGTCTCTGAGAAAGTTGGCATTAGTGAGGCTCTGTAGAAAGGGAGCTGGCTATACTGTTTGTGACCATCCGCCTAGGGAAAATGGTCGAGGATCTTGGAGTAGAGGGAAATGCCCAGGAAATCATATAAATGAACAGAAGAAAAAAGTTTAAGAAGAAGCCTGGAAGAATCCCATCACTTACCAAAAACAATACATGATAGTGAGAAAGAGGAACTCTCACCAAGTGTGGACTCACAGGAGAGGATGGAAACACACCAACCATCAGATGGTGTTGCAAGCAAGATAAACCAAGAGACAAATGCAAGTCTTGGGCTATGTGTAATACTAATGTTCATTGTCTGCTATTTGGTAATGTGTTAAATCCACATTCATAAGATATTTTTGCTGTTCTGGTCACTATGACAAGAGAATGAAAACAACCTAGTTATCCCATCAATCCATAAGTGGGTGATGAAACTCTGCTACATACATAAAATGGAATACTGTCTAGCTCTAAAGAAAAAAAAGTGAAACCACAAAATTTGCAGGGAAATAGACATAGAAAGTATAAAACTTGGGCTAGAGAGGTGGCTCAGTGGTCTAGAGCACTGACTTCTCTTCCCAAGGACCTGGGTATAATTCCCAACACCCACATGGCAGCTCTATACCTCCAGTTCCAGGGGATCTGGAACCCTCACACAGATGTACATGCAGGCAAAACCCCAATGTTCATAAAAAAATAAACAAATCTTTAAAAATACAAAGAAAGTATAAAGCTAAGTGAGAGTTTCCCATTCTCAGAAAAAAAAAAATGCATGTTTTTCCTCATATAGGGATCAGTTCTATAATGTATACATGTATATGTGTAAACAAATGTATATGTGGGTATAGTATAGACGTAGCAAGAACAGGAAAGGCTACTATTTGGTGATGAAGAGGAACAGAATTCAGATAAAGTCACAAAAGGATATAAAACTAGTATTTTTTAGTTTTGACTCTCTTCTTGATTTTTCGGTTTCTTGTGTTGGATAAGTTCACAATGATGTAATTGATAATGAAAGTGTAAAATCCAAAGACAAGTTCACAGCTTCTAATTGACTGTTTTAACTGTGTGGTCCATTGTAGACTTTAGGTCTGGGCAAATGCTATGCTAATCTGTCTGTGTGTGTTTTTTCAATTCGTTACAACAAACTTTTTTTATATAAGGTTATTGTTAGTGTTCTTCAAAAAAAGAATTGTTGATTTAATTCCTTGGTGGTTTCAACTATGGGGGTGTAGTGAGAATTGAGGATTGCTATCTTTTTCAAGTACAATGTGTTTTAGTCAACTTCTCAAGTGTGTACTCTCTCATTTAGAAAATCCCTTCCCTGTGACTTCTACCCTGCGTATCTCTTGGCTCTCTGAACCCCACTTTTAGATGAAAGCTTTTCTCACAGATTTCAAATCATAGGGTTGCCTGATTTTGAAGCTAGAAGCATCCCTTCCTTTTTGCATGTTCCAAAGCACTTAAGATGTAGTTCATGAGGTAATGGGTTATTCATCTTAGTATCTGAGTTCAATTCCAAAAACCTGTGACCAACAACCAAAAAAGTCAGCCACATGTCCACTTGTTATCCCAGCACTAAGAAGGCAAGTGGGTAGGTCCCAGGGGCTCACAGACTAATCTCACCTCATGAGTGTGATACAGGCCAATGAGACACCTTGTGCCCAAGGTTGTCCCCAACACAATTGCTCGTGTATACACACGAACATGCGTCCTCACAAAGTTGGTTCACAGTAATGCACATCACAGTGTGTAAGAATTCAGAATGAGATTAAGTTGTCTTCTCCCTCATTTCTTTTCCAGCTCCAAGAGACGGTGAAAAGGAAGCTGGAAGGGGCCCGATCACCACTTAATGGGGACCAGCAGAATGGGGCTTGCGATGGGAGCTTCTCTCCAACAAGCAAGCGCATTCGAAAGGACCTCCCCACGGGGATGGAAGCCATCAACAATTTGCCCAACAACATGCCATTGCCTTCCGCTTCACCCCTTCACCAACTTGACCTCAAGCCTTCTTTGCCCTTACAGAACAGCACTGCTCACACTCCTGGGCTTCTGGAAGATCTGGGTAAGAATGGCAGGCTCCCTGAGATTAAACTCCCTGTCAATGGCTGCGGGGATCTGGAGGATAGCTTTGCTATTTTGCAGAGCAAGGACCTTAAACAGGAGCCTCTTGATGACCCTGCCTGCATAGACACATCAGAAACGTCACTTTCTAATCAGAACAAGCTGTTCTCTGACATTAACCTGAATGACCAAGAGTGGCAGGAACTAATAGACGAACTGGCCAACACGGTTCCAGAAGACGACATCCAGGACCTGTTCAATGAAGACTTTGAAGAGAAGAAGGATCAGGAATTTTCACAGACAGCCATGGAGACCCCACTTTCCCACGAGAGTGCCAGCGTGAAGAGTGATGCCTCTCATTCTCCTTTTACACACATCTCTATGGGATCGCCCCAGGCCAGACCTTCCTCTTCTGGGCCTCCTTTTTCTACTGTCTCCACAGCCACTAGCTTACCATCCGTGGCCAACACTCCTGTGGCTCCAAACTCTGCCAGCTCACCAGCTAACTGTGCTGTCCAATCCCCCCAAACGCCTACACAAGCCCACACTCCAGGTCAAGCCCCGCCTCGGCCTGGCAATGGCTATCTCCTTAATCCAGTCTCAGTGACGGTATCTGCTTCAGGGTCAGGCTCAGTGGCAGTGCCCAGCTCTGACATGTCCCCGGCAGAGCAGCTCAAACAGATGGCTGCCCAGCAACAACAAAGGGCCAAACTCATGCAGCAGAAACAGCAGCAGCAGCAGCAGCAGCAACAGCAGCAACAGCAGCAGCAGCAGCCCCACTCAAATCAGACTTCAAGTTGGTCTCCTTTAGGGCCTCCGTCAAGTCCATATGGAGCAGCTTTTACTGCAGAAAAACCAAATAGCCCAATGATGTACCCCCAAGCCTTTAACAACCAAAACACTATAGTGCCTGCAATGGCCAACAGCCTGCAGAAGACGACCATGAACAACTACCTCCCTTCAAATCACATGAATATGATCAGTCAGCAGCCAAATAACTTGGGTACAAATTCCTTAAACAAACAGCACAATATTCTCACCTATGGCAACACTAAGCCTCTGACCCATTTTAACGCAGACTTGAGTCCGAGAATGACGCCCCCCATGGCCAACCCCAACAAAAACCCCTTGATGCCCTACATCCAGCAGCAGCCTACGCAGCCACAGCCGCAGCCACAGCCACAGCCTCCCCAGCAGCAGCCACAGCCTCCACCACAGATGCAGACTCCCAGAGCGCACCTGAGTGAGGACCAGAAACGCATGCTTCTCATCAAGCAGAAAGGAGTGATGAATCCACCCATGGCCTATGCTGCACTTCCGGCCCACGGTCAGGTAAGTGAGACGCGGCACACGGTGGGAGCGGTTCCTAACCGCATTCCAGACTTCCCTGTGTGTACCCGTACCAGGCCCGTACATCCTTGTTTGATTTCTTCTCAGAGTTGGTCTAAGAGTGGTCCAATAAACCTTTCTTGTACATGAATGCCTAGGAACCCAGGATCCTATTCCTGACTGCAGCCAAGAAAATTTTAAATTACGTTGTTTTCACTGTGCGGAAGTCACATGTCCCAACATGGCATGCCTCTGTAGTTTTTCTTCTGGTTCATTAGCCAAAGGGTGATAAGAAAAGAGGTCCGGGTTCTCAGGCCTATCTGTCACCATTTTATACTTTCTGGACAAATCATTAGCTGTCTTAACAGGCTGTGAATGATGGGAAATATGGACTCTTAACCTTTAAAAACTAGAGAATTTTTGTATTTTCGGAGTGGAGAGTGGGTTTTGTTAGGGACGTTTGGTGTCTTAACATTTGCTATTTTGCCAACAACAGTTAAATATCTCGATCACATGACTTAGGAGTATGGCATCCCTGTCTGAGGCATTCAGCTGGATTTCAGCAAGCATTGCTAGTGAATTTATGGTGTATGTGTGTGTGTGTGGGGGGGGGCATCTCTTTACTTTAAGTTGCTATCTGTGCGCACCCTTCCTTGTGGAATGAAGACAGTGTCCTGTAGGTAGATACTTGGCAACTCTACATCTTATGGCTCCCACTTGTGACCCCCCCATTCTCTACGCTGACCCCCAAGGTTGGTAGAAGCTATGAGGCTGGAGATGGTGCTAGCCTGTGTAGACAGGCCAGAGCTCCGTGGCTTCATTCTTGCCCTTTGAAGCCTTCCAACCCCCAAACCTCCCAGTGATTTCCTTTCTCCACATGCCAGCTAGATCTAAAGAAGTCCTGTCTGAATAAATAAAAGTGTGGCTTGATTTTACATCATCTGCAATCGGGAAGTAGTAGAGAACATCTTTGAAATACGGAAGCTAAATTAAAATATAGTGATGGGAGATGTCATTCTGTATATGTTTCTCATACTGGTTAATAAATAAAGCACTGTTGGCCAATAGGAAAGGAAGATAGGAGGGACTAGGAGACAAGGAGGAAGAGGAAGTAGTAAGGAGGAGTCAAGATGGAGAGTCTGGAGAGAGCTGGACGCCAGCCGCCTCCCCGGTAAGAGAAGGCCATGTAAAAATACATAGATCAACAGAAATGGGTTAATACTTAAGACAAAGCTAGCCAATAAAAAACTAGTACCTGGCCAACAGTATAATATCAAATACAGAGTCTCAGTGTATTATTTGGGGCTGGCGCAGCGGCAGGACAAGACCGGGCGGCGACAGGCGGAAAAACAGTACTCGTTACAATATAGAAATATGTATTGATGGAAATGCAACCTCTCATACACTCTTAAGTTCAGAAAGCAAGCAAAATTAGAAGTAGTGTGCAGGGGTGCTTGTGGGAGCCCAGATGCATCACGAGGTTCATGAGATTGCATGCCGGCAAATGATCCATTGTTAATCTTCAAATTATGCTTCAACCTGGGCTGTTTTTAGGCCAGTATTTCTTCTGAGCTTGACCAAAGATGATTAATTCCAACTTGCAGGTCCTGTAGACATATGGGTGTGATGATACCCCTCTGTTCTCTGAGACCCACACTAACCCCTTTCTAAGTATGCTAGCTAGAAACAGTCATAGTTGGAACACTGGTTTTTTAAAGAGATGCTTTGGGGTCCTAATGCTTGCTAGTGGGTCCCTGAGGCCTTTAGCCGTGGGGTTGTATTTTGAAAGGGCTCTGTCGGCTGAAGCAGTGTCTGAATTAAATCTGCATGAAACACCTTCCATCTCAGAGGTGCTTTCAGGGTGGACAGACTCTTCCCTGGCAAGGGCTCTTTGGAACAACTGCTTCTAGGCACAGAGCACAGACAGGCAATGGTAGGTGCTTCCTAATGAAGTAGTAAGTGCCTAGTGTTTGAAACCAGTTTCAAGATACTTACAGAAGCATGTGAGGGTCGCTCTACAAACACGCCTTTTCAGATTTTTATCTGAGTGTGTATACTGGTATTTTCGTTGCTCTCAGTATAGTCCTTTATGCTGTGTGCAGGCACAGGACACAGACTCTGGGAAGAGTTATAGACAAGACACCAATGTTAATCCATGCTGTTTTCTCTGTCTTACTAGTAAGAATTCTGTTTCCCCTTGCCAGGCCCAAAAGACCAATGCTTAGTTTTACTGAATGACATGAAATAGAATGATAACATTAGATACATTTATTTCAAGAGACTGAGATTTCTCTCAGGAACAAGTTGAAATGTACACATTTTCTGGCTTTTTTTTTTTTTAAGGAAAGAAAAGAAATAAGCCAGACATGGTAAACTATGCCTTTAATATCAGCAGGTGGATCTCTGTGAGTTTGAGCCCAGCCAGGGTAACATAGTTAATTTTTTTTATCGGCTTTTATCTAGGAAGTCTACTTTGTAGAATTTATATGTTATTCTCATAATGATCAGATTGAACAACGATATTTATTAGTTTATTTTTGTTTTATGTATGTGAGCATTTTCCCTGCATGTTAGTCTGTGTGCCACATGTATGCAGTACCAGTGGAAGCCAGGAGAGGGCGTCAGATGCCCTGGAACTGGAGTTACAGATGGTTGTGAGCTGGGTGCTGGGGATGGAACTCAGGTCAAGTTGAGATCAACAGAAATACTTTGGACAGATCTATAATATAAATGAAGCTGTGGAATTAGCAAATGATTATGCATATGGAAATGCTCCTAATGTTAAAATAAGCAGCTCCCCAAACAGTTATTGTGCTGTAGACTGGCTTGTGCCATTCAGTAGCATAGAAGGTTGAGGAGCACCTAAACTTTTAGGGATGGCATTCTTTTATGTCATTGCTATTTTCTTTTTCACTGTTGACTGAATATTCTGAATTTCCTCATATATATATGTTCATTCTGCCACCCAGAAAATATTTTTTTAAGTAGGGGAAAAAAGTCCACAGTCCAAGTACAGTTCCAGCACAGGCTTCCAGAAGGTGATGCTGCTAATGTCTAGTCCTGGCGATGACAGGATGGGCTGCATTGTACACAACTCTGTTCGTTTCATCTGTATGTGTTTCGTGTATGTGTGTGCAGCTCGGTGTGTGTCATGAGTTGATATGCTTTCCACTTTTCCTTTTTTTTTTTTTTTTTTCCTAAAATGTGTAAGCTCTGATAGTGTAAACTTGTAAACAGGAAGCTCAGGCCTCCAGTATTCACAGACATCCTGAGAATCTCTTTAAACATCCTTAACTTTACAAGCCAGGAACCTCAGATTCCTTAAATACATATATTTCCTTTTCCCAAGAAACACATGTACCTAGTCCAAATAGCACTATCAGACTTTCAGTAAAAACTGAAAAAAAAAAAAAAAAAAAACAAACTGACAACAGCAGCCCTCCCCGTGCCCTCCCCCCCCTCCATGAAGGTAGCCACTTGACCTCATTAAGTCATTTTCTTTGTGACCCCTGCAGACTTTGTTTCTCCATTTTCAACCCTACTATATGTTAAAACACACCCTGCCTCAAAGGCATTGCTACCTGATCCTGTGACATCCACAGCATTGAGAAGCCCAGTGACATGTGTTACACCTTCCCTCCGAGAGCTTTTTGAATGGTTAAGATTTTGTGATTTTAATGTGGCTTCTTTCCCTCATTATGTGGAATGCTGTGAAATGTATTTTACTTGTGGCTGTGGATGTGGTGTGTGCCTGGGGGGCCAAAGACAGGTATGTGGTGTCTGGCTAAGCCACTTCCCTCCTTATTCAGACGAGGTGGGCTTTCTCACTGAACCTGTGATCCCCTGCCTCAGCCCTCATAGTGCTGGAGTGACAGGCATGCACAGTTGAGCCTGGACTTTACTCCATGCTGAGACCTGACCTCTGGGTCTCATGCTTGGGCAGCAGCCACTCTTACCCACCAAGCTGCTTGCCTACCCCTGCTATTTGGTTCTAAGAAATTGATTTTAACATCTGATAATATATGTTCCTAATATATCTGGGGTTTAAGATATTTTTAATACTTCCTCGCTCCTTTTATTTCTTTTTATTAAACTTTTGGGAACTTCTCCTTTTGCATTGTGAACTTCCTCGACTGCTTTCTGATTCTCATTTCTTTTCTATTTTCCATGTCTTTGTCTTTTTATCCCATGTTCTATTAGATTTCCTTAACTTTGTCTCACAACCTTGGTATCAAATACTTCATTTTTAATTTCCACATTTTCAATTTCTATAAGCTCCTTCTTACTCTCTGGCTTGTCCTTTATAACCTAAGAACACTAATTATCATTTTGAAATGAGGTTTTCTTCTGCTCTCTGCTTACTCTTTCTCTGAGGCAGCTTTTCCTTTGAGTTCATTCTGCTCCTATAATATCACAAGCTTTTCCTTAACTGTCTGTTTAGGCACATGGTACCGTGCCAGAGTTCACTTGCCCTGGGATTACTGGGTTAGAGCCCAGCCAGTGCCCTGGGTCAGTGTCCATACATGATTTCCCCTTGAGCAGGACAGGTGAGATTCCCAAGCTCTTTGCTGACCCTAGAAACTGAGCATGGAAAGGGAGTTGGTGGTTGTGTTGGTGACAGTGAGGAGTGTCTCTCTAAGCACTGGTTCACTTTCACTTATACCCTCTGTTTGCATTTGACACCTGCGATCCTGGGTCTGATAACTTCATCTCTGTAGAGTCAGGAGCCTTCCTTCCTCCAGCCTAGGGAAGGGCAAGACTCTTCACTTTGTTGACCTTGAGCCCATTTCCATGTGCAGCTCTGTGGGGATAGTCTAAACAGATGCTGTGCTCTTTGGCTATCAGACTGTTGAAACAACAGTCCCTGAGGAGCTTGAATTTCCTTGGGAATCTCATCACTGGACAGAAGAAAGGCTGAACCCCTCCTAATGCCAACCAGGGGAGGACCTTGCCTCTCCTGAAGAGATTTCAGACACTCGGAACAACTTCCCAGAACACTTTGC